TACTCCTATGATGCAGATGTTGGTACACTTGATGATGTACCAGTGTCCCCCTAGACCTTCTTCTTTGGATTCCTCTTGTTTGGGCTCTCTGTGCTTCCTGGACTTGTGTGTCTTTTTTCTTCACCAGGTTAGGAAAGTTTTCCACTGTTATTTTTTCAAATAGGTTGCTCTCTCACTTGCTTGCTTGCTCTCTCACTTCTCCTTATGGAACCTCCATGATGCAAATGTTGGTACACTTGATGTTGTCCCTGTGGCCCCTTACGCTATCCTCATTTTTTTTTTATTCTTTTTCCCCTTTTTCCAGATTATCTTTTCTTTTGGCTGTTTTGATTATATGTTTTCTTCTTCTTTTTTTAAGATCTTATTTCTTTATTTTTAGAGAGTGGGGAAGGGGAGGAGAAAGAGAAGGAGAGAGACATCAGTATGTGGTCACCTCTCATGCATTCCCTACTGGGGACCTGGCCTGTAACCCAGGCATTTGTCCTGACTGGGAATCTAATTGGCAACCCTATCGTTTGCAGGCCCGTGTTCAATCCACTAAGCCACACCAGCCAGGGCTGTTTTTTTCTTTCTTATCTTCCAAATCACTGACTTGATCCTTTGCTTCATCTAATCTGTTGATTCCTTATAATACAATTTTAATTTCAGTTATTGTATTCTTCATTTCCAACTGGTTCTTTTTTATGTTTTCTATTTCCATTTTTATGTTTCCTGTGTCTTTGTTGAAGTTCTCACTGAGTTTATCTACTCTTTCTTCCCTGGCTGGTGGGGCTCACTGGGTTGAGCATCATTCCACAAACCAAAAGATCACCAGTTTGATTCCCATTTAGGGCATATGCCTGGGCTGCAAGCCAGGTTCTCAGTTTTGGGCATGCTAGAGTTAACCAACTGATATTTCTCTCATACATCAATATTTCTCTCCCTCTATTTCTCCCTTCCTTCCCCTCTCTCTAAAAGTAAATAAATAAAACCTTAAAAAATAAAATAAATCTACTCTTCCCCTAAGTTCATTGAGCATCATTATAACCAGTGTTTTGAACTCCACATCTGGTAGATTGCTTATCCCCATTTTGTTTAATTCCTTTTATGGAGTTTTGTTCTGTTCTTTCATTTAGGACAGGTTTCTTTGTCTCCTCATTTTGGCCGACTACTTGTGTTTTTTCTTGTGCATTAGGTAGAACACTTGTTTCCTGGTCTTGGTAGGATGGCTTTTTGCAGTAGGTGTCCTGTAAGGCCAGTGGCGCAGCCTCCTCAGTCACCTTAGCAGGGTGCTTTAAGTGTGACCCCTGTATGGGATGTGTGCATCCTCCTTTTGTAGTTGAGCTTTGGGTGCTCTTGGCACATCAACTGGAGGGATTTATTCCCCAGGTTGATGGGCTGTGAGTTCTGTCTGTAATTAAAGTAGAGATGCTATTCAGGGTCTGATTCATGAAGCAGGACTCACTTCAGCAGGACTCTGGTGCCCAGCAACTCTGCTGGTGTGTTGCTTGTGAAGGTGGTTATATGGTGCTCCAGTATGATCTGAAGCTCTCCATCAACTGGCTCAGGGACTTTCCATGAGGTGCTGGCCAAGGTCAGCTGCTACCTGTTACTTTCCTAGGCCACTTAGCAGATGGCTGCTACTTATGCTGGCCTTGGAGGTGCCTGGGAGGGCCAAACTGTGAACCAAGGCTGACTTCCACTATTACTTGGCCTAGGGCCACTTAGCAAAAGGTACAGACATGCTCTTGGGTACGGCAGGATCTCAGGGAGTCACCAGGGTTGGGTGAGCAGTGTTAGATTGATGTAGACTCAAGTATTGTACCTGCCTGCACCCACAAGGGAGGATTCAGCAAAGGAACAATGGCCTCTGCCAATACTTCCATCTGAGAGAAAACTGACCCTCCCACCCTCAACCTGAAGCTGTAAAATTCAGTTTCTTCCTGTATACCCCTGGCTTTTTAAGCTGCTACGCCAGCACTGGAGCTGAGACCAAGTGAGTCCAAGTCAGTGTGTGGGTTCTTTAAGAGGTGTGCCTGGGACTCCAGGAGTACTCTGTCTCACTCACCCACAATCCCTGATGGTTTTCACAACCAGAAGTTATGGGGACTTCTTTTCCTGGTGCTGGAACCCTGGGCTGGGAGCCTATTGTGGAACTGGGATCCCCTTACTCATCAGAGGTGTCTCCATAGGTGAGATATTCCTTCTGATTTTTAACCACTGTTGGGGACTGCTTTGTGTGGTATCAGAGACCATAGCGCCACACAAGCTAAGCCTTGAAAGAGGCCTGTAAGACTTGACCAGAAAGCCAGGGATGCATGAGGCAAGTATGACCCAATACTAGCACTGAGGGTTCCCATGGGAAATTAGGCCTGAAGAATGCATTGTATCCTTTGAAACTTGTTTTGCTTTGTATGGCTCTGTTGATATAAACCAGATATTTAAGTTCAAGGTCCATAAGAAGTGAACTCCTTATCTCATGAAACATGTCTTAAAGACCATCTTGTGTCAGCATGACTAACAGACCCTGACCTGAGGCAGATCTGTGTTCCTTCAATTGTTATCTATAGATAATACCTGTTTTCTAGAACTATAGCCTTTTGACATTGATTGAAGAGCTATGCATGCATGCTGTATACCCCTACATATACCGATCCCAAAGAAAGCCATTTCAGAGAAGGGCTTGGGGCATTCTCCATTAGAGGGAATTACCACCCTCTTTCCCATGAGAACAGATTGTGTCTGGGATGACTCATTTCATCCGAGACTGGGAGAACTCCGCAAGATGGGGTTCCCCTCAAACCACCAGAATTTCCATCCTTTTTAAAGCTGAATAATATTCCATTGTATGTATATACCACATTTTTTTATCCATTCACACTTGGGTTATCCATTAGACACTAAGATTGCTTTCACCTTTTGGCTATTGTGAATAATGCTGCTGTGAACATTGGTGTACAAATATCTGTTCATTCCCTGCTTTCAATTCTTTTGATATATACCTAAATGTGGAATTGCTGGATCATATGGCAATTCTGTTTTTAGTTATTTGAGGAACCACTGTATTGTTTTCTATAGCATCATCATGATTTTACATTCATATCATAGTGCAATATTATACAGTAATGAAAATAAATGATGAGAATTAAATGTATGACATGGGAACTTCTAAACATGTCATTCCCTTTCTTGGAACATTCTCCCATCCTACCCAGTGCTCCACTTGGATAAATCCGACTCATCTTCTAAGTTTTGGCATAAGCAGTATACTTCTGAAAAGTCTTTCCAGTCCATCTGCTTTCATCCCATCTCCCAGGCCCCTGTTAGGTCCCCATTCTTTGTCTCTCCCTGTCAGAGTCATTGTCATATTGTATTATAATTGCCAGTTATGGTATGCCTCCTTTACTCCTAGACTGAACTCCTTGAAGGTAGAACTCTGTCTGTCTTGTTCATTGCTGGATTCTCAAAGTTGGTTTAGAATGGATGTTAAATAGTGTTGTTAATTGATGAGTTTTTTAAATGTGGCAAAATGACAGCATTTATAGTCCTGAGACCCCCATCCCTGAATCTTTCTGTGTCCCTTGAAGCAAATATTCATAAGCTATGAATTTCTTCACTTTCTATTTTCTATCTCACAGTACCCCATGAGCTGGAAGGGACTTCTGTGGGTCATTGTATCCAATCTCCTACAGAATACATTCTCCATCATGGCCTCCCTGAGAGTAGTTTTCCAGTATGGCCTGAGCAGTTCCAAAGATTATCACTATGTGGTTATGCATTGCATGTTATAGAAATTGTAACTAAAAATAGCAAACAAACAGAGGTTTATTTCCCTCACATTCTAAGAAGCCCCAAAGAAGTGATAGGTAACCCTGGTTTAATTATTCAATGATGTCTTTGGTGCCCAGGCTTTTTCCATCCTTCTGCTCCACTAGCTTCAAAATGTTGCCTCTCCATGCTTGTGTAATTTGTTGCTTCATGATTATAGAATGACTGCCACAGCTCCAGGCATCACATTACATCAAAGACAAGAAGATAGGAAAGGGGGCATTGCCAGCAAACTCCCCTGTTCTGCCTGCCCCTTCTATAAGAAAGAAAACCCCAAGAAGTTCTATAGCATATTTCTATCTATGATTTACTGTCCAGAACTATATCATTAATCACAAAGTGAAGGGAGGCTATAAAATTAAGATTTAATTTTTCTGGCTTCTAGAGTGGAAGGTGATAGGGTAGGGATAGGAATGACTATTGAGGCTGTTTTATGCAGCCACTGTCTCTTTTAAAACAGACCCTCTGCCACATGTAGGGATTGAACAGAAACCTGGCTGGGCCAAGGATATAACTGGTCCCAGATTATAGTTAGAAATTTCCCAAGTGACCAGTGGAGTCACCCGATTTTTCACATTTTCCTATCATAGATATTACCCTCAAATATCTATTCCTCACCTTCTCCTGTACTCTACCCCTCAAATCTCCTGTTCAGCATTTAATAGCCATGTAATGTAGACAATTTATACCAACTCCGGGGTGAGGTGGGGAATAAAGCTGCCCAGCTGGTCCTCCCAAGGGGTGTCTCTGAATACTTCGGTGGCATTTTGATGAAAAGAGCACTGGATGGGAACAAGGAGATTGGGGTTCTCATCTCAGCTTTACAATATTTGAGTTGTGTGAAAATGGGGTGCTGCTTGTGTTCTTTGGGCCTCCTTATCCTTATCTATAAAATGGGAGGGTCAGACTGGATGATCTCCCAATTCCCTGACAGCAATATCACTCTGGTTTTTCTGATTCTGCCCCTTTCATGGACTCTGAAGACCCCAGGAGATGGAAAAATAGTTGTTTGACTGCATTACCTTTGCTTGTGCAAGCTATTCTAAGCAGCTGGGACATTTGTGTCACTCACTACCTTGGTGCCACACCCCAGCCCTTGCCCAGGTGTCAGCTGGCTCCTCCCTAGGGGTGCAGATACCAAATGAGCTTGCTGGAATGGGATATTAAAAGCCTCAGCCTTGGTCCCTGAAACACTTGGCTTCTGCTTGCAGCTATGTGGCTGGTTCTCTTACTCCTGCTGTGGCTGAGCCCTGTGGCCCCAAACTCAGAGACAGGTGAGGAGCCATGCTAGCAGGTCAAAGGGACCCTGGTCTCTAGTCTCTCTCTTTCCTTCCTTCCTTCCTGCATGATCCACCTCCTGGGGGCTAATGTTTACTAATTCATTAATTAATTCATTTATTCAGGTACTTACTAAGCACCTGCTAGTGCTTAATGTGGGGCTTTTCTGTGTACTATCTTTATATTTACAATTTATAATTAACTTAGGAAGTTCTGTTTTTACTGGGGAGTCCAGAGGAATGTCCAGAGAGGTTCCCGTGAGTAGAAGCATCATGTAGCTCTAGAATGTGCACTATTGGGTGGGGGAAGGAGGGAAGGTGGTGTGACAAAGCCAGATTCAGGTTAATAGACTGACTCACTGGTCAGCTGCCACGTGCCAACCTGTTAGATTTGCTCAAATGTCCCTAGAAATGCTATGGATGGGTAAAGTTGTATTTATCAGAACTTCTTTGTAGAAAAGCTAGATGTCATTGGTAGGAATATAATGGGAGTGGGAACCTTAAGGGACATGCTTAAGTAATAACAAGCATATTAAATTGTTTTGTAATAAAGGACTTTTGGGGAAGGGCAGGGCTTCAGCTTTGCTGAGTGGGGTTTGTGAGTTTGGGGCTGGAACAGGATTTTGGGGAACCATAGAGGGGAGGAGGAGGCTACCTTGGGCCTGCCTTCCTCACCCTACCCAGCAGTGTGTGAGCTCACCTCTTCAATACAATCATAAAACATGTTTAAAGAGAATAGCTCTGGAGGGGGGGCAAACTATTAGTGTTGGGTTCTTCATTCACTCCTATTTGGGCCTGTTTCCGGCTCCACAGCTTGTGCCTTTCTTAAAAAGTGTATTTTATTAATTATGCTGTTACAATTGTCCCATTTTTTCTCTCCTTTATTCCCCTCTGCCATGCATCCCACCCACCTCCCACCAGCATCACCCACCTTAGTTCATGTCCATGGGTCATACATGTAAGTTTTTTTGGCTTCTCCATTTCCTATACTGTTCTTAACCTCCCCCTGTCTACTTTGTACTTACCATTTATGCTTCTTATTTCTTGTACCTTTCACCCCATTTTCCCCTCTCCACCTCCCCACTGACAACCCTCCATGTGATCTCTGTTTCTGTGAATCTATTCCTGTTCTAGTTGTTTGCTTAGCTTGTTTTTGTATTTGTTTAGGTTCAGTTGCTGATAGTTGTCAGTTTGTTGTCATTTTACTGTTTATAGTTTTGATATTTTTCTTAGATAAGTCCTTTTAACATTTCATATAATAAAGGCTTAGTGATGACAAACTCCTTTGACTTGACCTTATCTGGTAAGCACTGTATCTGCCCTTCCATTCTAAATGATAGCTTTGCTGGATAGAGTAATCTTGGATGTAGGTCCTTGCCTTTCATGACTTGGAATACTTCTTTCCAGCTCTGTTTCTTTTGAGAAATCAGTGGACAGTCTTATGTGAACTCCTTTGTAGGTAACTGTTTCCTTTTCTCTTGCTGCTTTTAAGATTATTTTCTTATCTTTAATCTTCAGTAATGTAAATGTGCCTTGGTGTGTTCCTCCTTGGGTCCAACTTCTTTGGGACTCTCTGAGCTCCTGGACTTCCTGGAAGTCTATTTCTTTTGCCAGATTAGGGAAGTTCTCCTTCATTATTTGTTCAAATAAGTCCTCAATTTCTTGCTCTTCCTCTTCTCCTTCTGGCACCCCTATGATTCAGATGTTGGAATGTTCAAGGTTGTCCTGGAGGTTCCTAAGCCTCTCTTCAGTGTTTTGATTTCTTGTTTCTTCCTTCTGTTCTGGTTGAATGTTTATTTCTTCCTTCTGCTCCAAATCACTGATTTGAGTCCCGGTTTCTTTCCCTTCACTGTTGGTTCCCTGTATATTTTTCTTTATTTCAGTTTGTATAATCTTCACTTTTTCCTCTATTTTATGACCATACTCAACCATTTCTGTGATCACCCTGATTACCAGTGTTTTGAACTCTGCATCTGGATAGTTTGGCTATCTCTTCATCAATTAAATTTTTTTTTTTGAGTTTCAATCTGTTTTTTCATTTGGGCCATATTTCTTTGTCTCAGCATACCCATTACACTGTGTGGGGAAGAGGCTCAGGTATTTGCCAGGGCAGGGCAACTCACTTGGTTGCGTTGTGGTGCTATGTGTAGGGAAGAGGTCCAAGAGGGCACAATGCCTCTTGCTCAGCTCTTGGCTGGTTTTCTGTCACTTCCTCACTACCAACAAGCAAATTGGGCCCTTTTGGTACTGATTTCCAGGTGTATGGGCTTGTGTACTTTCTAGGACCCTGTGGGTCTCTCCAGTGGACTGTCCTGTGAAGCTGGACAGTTCAGCTTTTCCTGCTGCCACAACCCACACAGGTTTTTACAGCCAGAGGTTTTGAGGCTTTCTTTTCCCAGCACTGGAACTCTGGGTTGCACGAACTTTCTCACTCTCCAGTTGTTCTTCCCAGTTTATCTGCATGCACATGTGGGACCTTCCATTCCACCAGCTGCCACCTCACCTGACTGGTCCTCTAGCTACCACCTTGCCATGTGTCTCTGCCCCTCCTACTAAAGAAGAATGCCCCCTCCCCTTCTAAAGAAGAATGAATGTTTCTTCTTTAACTCCTTGGTTTTTGGACTTCCATACAGTTCGATTTTCTGGCAGTGCTGGTTGTTTTTTTTTGTTGTTGTTCTTAAATTTGTTGTTGTCCTTCTTTTGGTTGCATGAGGAGGGAAAGTGTATCTACCTATGCCTTCATCTTGGCTGTAAGTTCCACAGCTTGTGCTTCACTAGCCTCTTGATATGAAGCCAATGGGATGGTTACAGAGCAGAACAAGAAGCCATTTTCTGAGGGGCTCACTGCCCCTCACCGAACCCAGTGGCTCTCTCCTTTTAACTGCAGCACAGCACTTTCCATACAACATAATGACATTCTGGTTACTTGTTAGGGTGATGATGCTCTGTTCACTAGGCTGAACTACTGAAAAGTGTTTTGGGGGTGATGATAGGGCAGGGCAGTGGAATGTATCTCCATGATCCACCATGGCACTTGGCTCAGAGAGCCACTCAATAGACTGAAGTGAATGAATGAATGAGTGAGTGAGTGGGTACTTGCTCATCATGGAGTTGGACTTCCTTTCCCTCACTGTGCTGTCTTTTTTCTGATGTTGCCAGTCAGGACTATTAGGAACTGTAACTTTCTTCTGGCTCATGGACGCTGTGGGAGCTCAAGAGTGAACCCAAGTTCAATTCAGATCTTTTAAATTAAATTAAGTAAAAATTATTTGGCACTAGATATACAAAAATGCATTTCCTGCCCTCAAGTTTCTGGTATGAAAGACAGGTACACACCTCCAGAAAGAAGGCTGCAACAATAATGGAGATAGGGATTGGTGCTATGTTAGAAGTTAAAGTCAATATGTTTTAGGAGTAAGAGAAAAAGGTTAATCCCAGTTGAGAGGATGTAGGAAGCCTTCTCAGAATAGATTGATTTTATTTTTAAAAACTATTATGGAAAATTTCAAACACATACAAAAGTAGAGAGAATAGTATAATGAATCTGTTGGCTAACTTCAAAATTATTAACCAAGTTCTTATCTACCATATTTTAAAAATATAACCAAAGTAGTGTATCAGAGCTGAAATAATTAAAATAATTACTGTTATTTAATGCCTATCAGTGCACATATTTCTCTAGCTGTCAGAAAGGGCTTTTTGTAGTTGGTTTATTTGAATCAGGATCCAAACAAAGTCTATACGTTGCATTTAACTGGTATATTTCCTAAAGTCTCTTTGAATCTATATCCACCCCACTTTTTTTCTTATGCTGTTAATTCATTGAAAAGAAACCAGGTCATTTGTCCTGTAGAATGTTCTACACTCTGGATTTGTCTAACTGAATCCTTGTGGATATCCCTCTGTCCTCTGCATTTTCTGAAATCTGTCAGTTACAGTTCATTTCTTTTGGGAGGAATATTTATAGGTGGGGCTTTGTACTTCCTATGGCATCTTGAAGGAGACATACAATGTTTAGTTGCTCTACTTTTACTGGTGTTAAAGTTGATCAGCCCGCTGCATCCATTTTAAGTCTATTATCATAGTTCCCTCTCGGCCGTTCTTTAACGGTTTTAGCCTGCACTGATGATTGTCCATTAGATTCCTTTGCTTTATTAGTGTCTTCAAACTGGCTGTTTTCTAATTCTATCATTCCTTCTGAATTTATTAGCTGGAATTCTCCTATAAAGAAGATATTTCCCTTTGGTTGGTTATTCACATTTAGCCATTGGATAAATGTTTGATTCTTAATTGCCATTTTCAGAATAAGAAGCTAGTTCTTTAGCAACCCTGGGAAGACTGAATTTAAACATGACCCTGAAAGATAAAAATGTTTTCTGCTAGTGTCTATGGGAGGAAAGGTCTTTTAAGAAGAAGAAACAGCTTGAGCAATGGCTCAAAAGCAGAAGTATACAGGGTGTTTAGAGAATGGCAGAGATTGGTAGCAAGTGCAACCAGAGGCCTTTTAAATGTGAACCCTGAGCATGGTGTGGTGGGAAGAGCAAGTGAGAAGCTGGGTTTGCTGGTTCTACTTCCAGCTCTGTCACCCTCTCAAACAGGACCTTGGGAAAGTGGCTTTTTTATTTCTAGATCAGTGACTTTTAATCTTTTCTGGCTATAATCCACATTAATAAATATATTTTGCACTGTGACCCAGTACATACATGCATATATATAAAACAAAAATTTCAAACTCCAACGTACATTTATATAAACAATGTATGTGGATATTTTCTATTCCATCCTGTCCTGTCCTATCCTATCCTATCCTATCCTATCCCAACAAATGTTGGTCAGACCACTGAATTGATCTATGACTCACAAGTGGGCTCCAACCCTTGTTTGGATGGGCCCTGGGGCTCTTTCCAGCTCCAGTTCTCTTTGTTCCATCCCTGGTATTGGTGACAATCTGAGGCTGGACCAGGCACTTGGGAAGAGGGATGCGAGAAGGGAAACTGATCATCTACAGGAGACTCCTGAGCTGAACAACAGGCAGAAGCCAGACCAAATTCAGAGCCTCCACCCTGGCCCAGCCCAGCCATCTCACCATTACCTTGAGAGGTCTGAGCCCCTGGCCCACTGCTCCCCTTTCATCAGACACCTGCTAGCCCCTATTTCCATAACATGCTGGGTTGGCCACACCTAACCCTACATTCTCTCAGAAGTCTGCTCCCTGTTGATCATGTCAACTTTGGAAGGCCCTCAAATTTATTTTCTAAACAAAGCCCCAGGCAGGTGCTAATGCACCAGGAGGTAATTGGAAAGGTCAAGGTAAAGTAGAGAATAGCATTGAGAGTCCTGGGCATGAGAACACCTGGGGCCTATTTCCACCTGAGTCACAGAATTAGCACGTAACTTGGACAATAGTCCCTATCTGCCAATGCCTTGCTTTCCCCATCCCTTAAAGGAGATAAACTCCCTCATCATGAAGTGGATGGTAGGAAAATCAATACTTCATTCTGTTTTATGGCTGAATAATATTCTGTTGTGTAGATATACCATATTTGTTTTATCCATTCATCAGCTGATGGACATTTGAATTGTTTCTGCTTTTTGGCTATTATGAATAATGCCACTAAGAACATTCATGTGCAAATTTTTATGTAAACATATATTTTCAGTTCTCTTATGTATATACCCCGAAGTGGAATTGCTGACCCATAAGGTTAACTCTATGTTAAACATTCTAAGAAACTGTCAAACTGTTTTTCAATGTGGTTGTGCCATTTTTCAATTTTACTAGCAGTGCATGAGGTTCCAATTTCTCCACATTCTCATTAATGCTTGTTTTCTTTTCTTTTTGTTTTAGTCATCCTACTTGGAATGAAGTGGTATCTCATCGTGGCTTTGATTTGCATTTTTCTTGGATGACTAATGATGTCTCCTTTCATGAGCTTATTGGCCATTTATATATCTTCTTTTAAGAAAAAAAAAAGATTTATTTATTTATTTTTAAAGAGAGGAGAAAGGAGGGAGGAAAACATCAATCAGTTGCTTCTCACATGTGCCCCAATTGGGGACAGGGCCTGCAACGCGGGCATGTGTCCTGACTGGGAAGTGAACTGTCAACCTCTTGCTTTGCAGGATGATGCTCAACCAGCTGAGCCATGCTGATCAGGGCTGGATATATTCTTTGCCCATTTAAAAGTTGGGTTGTTTGTCTTTTTTGTTGTTGTTGTGTTGTGGGAGTTCTTTACATATTCTAGATAAAATGTTTTTATCACTTATGTGATTTACATACTGTTTCTCCCATTCCATGGGTTGTCTTTTTACTTTCTTGATAGTATCCTTAGAGGCACAAAACTTAATTTTTGATCAAATCTAGTTTGTCTATTTTTTCTTTTGTCACTTGTGCTTTTGGTATCATATCTGAGAAATCATGACTTAGTGTAAAGACATAATGATTTACATCTTTGTATTTGCCTGAAAGTTTTATAGTTTTAACTTTTACATTTAGATCTGTGATCTATTTTGAGTTAGTTTTTGTGTATGGTGTGAGGTAGAGGTCCAAATTCATTCTTTTGCATATGGATATATAGTTTTCCAGCACCATATGTTAAATACCTCTATTTTTAATGTCTCTTTTCCTGTAGGCAGCTGCTCCCAACCCCAGCCTCTCTGCTGCCTTGGAAGAGATCACCACTGCAAGAGAGGGAGCTGCTACTGTGATGCATTCTGTCGTGTGGTACCTGACTGCTGCCCAGACCATCATGCCCTCTGCAACTCTGGTAACTCACATGCAGGCTCTTTTCAACCCCCAGAAGATCTGGGTGCTGTGACTGACAGAGGTAAGCCCCTCTCTCATATGTACTTCAGGCCAAGGCCAGGATGTAAATGCCTGAGGTCCCTAATAAGCCTGAGGTCCTTCCAGTCTGTCCATTTTATGTCAAAATTGCCTACACATTCCTTCCAGCTTTGTTCCCTCACTGCTCCTTACCACCTTCGGTCCCCTCTGAGCCACTTTTCCAGGTCCCACAGGGAGAGGTTAGCTGTTGGTGGTTGGGGATCAGGGTGGGGAATAGGGTGATTGGGTTCTACCTAACTGCCCACCTTCTCTTGCAGTGTAGCTGCCTCTTGACTGTCCTGTGTAGATTTTGAGGACAGACAGGAGTCTGAAGAGAGGTGCAGAGGATGCTGGGTAGTAGCAGGGGGATGGAAGGCAGGGACAAATACAGGAGCTTTCATCCAACGTTTCCCAGCTTCTCAGAATACCAAGATGGTGCTGCAGATGGTGTTGAGGGTGGAGAATGCACCAAGTGCTGCCAGAATCAATGTCGACAGGATGCAGAGCATGGTGAGTGCCCTAGAGATTCTCCCAGAAAGGGTGGTGGCAACCTGCTCCTGCCTCCCTGGCTTTCAGGTCCCAAAGTCAGGGAGCAACTGCCAAAGTCAGGAAAGAGGCCTGAGCTGGGGCAGAACTCCATCGCAGCCATGGTTTTAGGGCTAGAAGCCAGGGTTTCTACCCATGGAATCTGACTCTTGGATTTTATATAGTGTTCATGTGTCATGAACTATTATTCTTCTTTTGACTTTTTTCAACCACTTAAAAATGTAAACAAAAATTTTAGGTTCATTTGTTGACAGTTATGAATTTATTATCATTTCACTGTTCATATTTTTGATATTCCTTTTCTTAGAGAAGTCCCTTTAACATTTCATATAATAATGGTTGGTGATGATGAACTCCTTTACCTTGATCTTTTCTGAGAAGCACTTTATCTCTCCTTCCATTCTAAATCACAGCTTTGGCTGGATAGAGTAATCTTGGATGTAGGTCCTTGCCCTTCATGACTTTGAATACTTCTTTCCAGCCCCTTTTTGCCTGTAAGGTTTCTCCAAAGGTTTCTTTGGAGAAATCACCTGATAGTCTAATGGGCACTCCTTTGTAGGTAACTCTTTCCTTTCTTCTTGCTGCTTTTAAGATTCTCTCCTTATCTTTAATCTTGGCTAATGTAATGATGATGTGCCTTGGTGTGTGCTTTTTTAGGTCCAACTTCTTTGGGACTCTCTGAGGTTCCTAGACTTCCTGAAAGTCTATTTCCTTTGCCAGATTGGGGAAATTTTCCTTCATTATTTGTTCAAATAAGTGTTCAATTTCTTGCTCTTGTTCTTCTCCTTCTGGAACCCTATAGTACAGATATTGGAATGTTTTAAGGTGTCCCAGAGGTTCATAAGCCTCTCTTCACTTTTTTGAATTCTTGTTTCTTCATTCTGTTAGGGTTGGATGTTTATTTCTTCCTTTTGTTCTAAATGTTGATTTGAGTCCTGGTTTCCTTCCTGTCACTATTGGTTCTCTGAATATTTTGATTTATTTCATTTTGGGTATCTTTCCTTTGTTCTTTCATTTTCCAACCAAGCTTAATCAGTTTTGTGAGCATTTTGATTACTAAGGGCTTTAAATTCTTCATCAGATAGGTTGGCTATCTCCTCATTGCTTAGCTCTCTTTCTGAAGTTTTGCTTTGTTCTTTCATTTTGGCCCTATTTCTTTGTCTTCGGGCCCCTGTTAAAATGTAAGGGGGTGGGACCTTAGGTATTCACCAGGGCAGGGCAACCCTGTGTTGCGCACTGCAGGGTTGCCTGTGGGGGAGGGGCCAGAGAGGGAACAATGCAGCTCACCTGCTCAGCTCTAGCTTGCTTTCCAACAAATTCTCATGTGAGACTGGGAGTTCCCACTGCAGCAACTGCTGGAGCCCACAGTCATCTCTGAGTCTCAGTTTCCCATTCAGTCACCCCACCCTCGTGGCCCACCACCTTGCCTCGGGTTCTCTCCATCTGCTGTCTTACCCGGTCTGGTTGTTCTCATTGACTATTTCTTTAATTTCTTGGTTTTCAGAGTTCCACGCAGTTTGATTGTCTGGCACTTCCGGTTGTTTATTGATTTTAGATTGGTTGTTATCCTCCTTTTGGTTGTGCAAGGAAAAGAAGGGTTTCTACCTACACCTCCATCTTGGCTGGAACTCTAAATGTAAAAAAAAAATCTTAACTTGTTAACTATACAAAAAACAGGCAGCAAGACAGATTTGGCTCATAGACTGTACTTTGCTGCTTTCTGTCCTAGTCATCCTCTGTTCTTTACTTTTCTTCTGCGTCCTGGCTTCAGCCCTGACCTTTTCAGATCTCTCTGCCCAGCACTGGAGGTGAAGCCTTGGGCCCCATGCTAGCACATGATGACTCTGAGAAGAGAGAAAGACAGCATAATGCAATGGAAAGAGCCTGGACCCAGAGCCACGTAGACCTGGGTTCAAGCCCTGGTTCCATCACTTATTACTTGGGTGACTTCCTGCAACTCCTTTAGCCTTTTTGAGCTTCCCTTTCCTCATTGGTCCCCCGACTTTTTGGCACCAGGGACCAGTTTCATGGAAGGCAATTTTTCATGGACTGGGGTAAGAGGGGTGTGGTTTGGGGATGATTCAAGAGCATTACATTTATTGTGAACTTTATTTCTATTATTATTACATTGTAATATATAATGAAATAATTATACAACTCACCATAATGCAGAATCAGTGGGAATCCTGAGCTTGTTTTCCTGCAACTAGATGATCCCATCTGTGGTCACAGGAGACAGTGACACCCAAAGTGTGTTGCTTATGTCCAACTTACTCTGTAATCTCATTTTGGTTGCTGTTGCTGCAGAAAACCCAGCATCACCAAGATAGTATGTTGGAAATAGAAGCAGACATAATTTTAAGCCACCGTCATTTGCGATCTCAAGCAGTTGATTTTCTTCCAGCACCTGGCTTATTCATAAATGGGTTGCAGATCCATTCCTTCCCAGTTTGGGGGTCTTTTGTGACTGAGAAGTAATGCTCATACTCTTTTTTTTAGATTTTATTTATTTATTTTTAGAGAGGGAAGGGAGGGAGATATATAGAGAGAAACATCAATGTGCGGTTGCTGGGGGTTATGGCCTGCAACCCAGGCATGTACCCTGGCTGGGAATCAAACCTGCGACATTTTGGTTCGCAGCCCATGCTCAATCCACTGAGCTATGCCAGCCAGGGCAGTAATGCTCATACTCTTGAAAGTTGAGGGGATCATGCACCAGCTAAGAGAAAGAAGGCCCTGGCTCAGTCTCTTTCTAAATCCCTGCTAATGTTTGAAACATGTCAAAAATCCCAATGTTCACTTGTCGCCCTCATAATTCCAGTTTGGCTTTGAATGCAGCCACTTTATCTGCCAACTAGGACACAGTTGTTGTTGTCCCCTGAAGTTACAGATTGAGTTCCTTGAGCAGTTTGAATATGTCACACAAGCAAGTTTTGCAACTCATTCTGTGTCACTGAAATGTGCTACCAGGGGTGACTGTTTTTCTAAAAGAAACCTCTGGAACAGCTGTCATAACTCAAAAACTATGGCAGCAATCTCCCTTTAGAAAGTCATCTCACCTCTGTGTGTCAGAGAAGACATGTGTGCTCTGCGCCCATCCCCTCACAGAGCTGCGTGAACAGACATGAGTTAAGAGCATGTACTTTAATGTGGCTGATCATTTTAATCACATCCTGCAAAATGTTGTTAAGTTCAGGTGACATTTTTCGGCTAGCCAGCATTTCTCTATGGATGACACAGTGCATAGACTCACATTCAGAAGTGATCACTTTGACCTGAGTAGTGAAACCAGAAAGCTGTCCAGTCATGGCAGCTGCCCCATCTGTGTGCATATCAACAAAAAGTGACCAATTCGGTTTTCCTGATATGTAATCATTCAAAGACTTGAATACTTCTGCAGCTGTGGTGTTGGTTGGCAACAAAAGTGCACATAAAATATGCTCATGTACATCCTCCTGAACAATATATCACACAAAAGCAAGCATTGTTGCCTTGTTATCAGCATTGGTAAACTCGTCAACCTGAATTGCATACCATGGTGACACACTAATCCCCTCTAACAATTGTGCCTCAATACCCTCTGCTATTTCATCAATTCATCTAGTTATGGTGCTAGATGAAAGAGGAGCATGTGTCACCTTTGGAATGGGAGCTTCTAAAAACTCAAGACAAATATCCTTAGCAGCAGGCAGGATCAACTCTTTACTAATAGTAAAGGGCTTCTTAGCCTTAGCAAGGTGATCAGCCTTGCTCTCAGTGCAGACACATTTGATGAAGTGGTGGCCTTCAATGATTGCTTCTGTTCTTCATGTTCATGTTTTTTTTTCTTTTGAAAAACTCCAAAGGCTTGTCTTTTAATGCAGAGTGCTTGGTCTGCAAGTGGCAGGGCAGTTTTGAAGGTTTCATGACTTCATTGGATAGCTGGTTGCACATATTATACAAAGCAGGCTTAGAGAATGTGATTCACCTGTTGCAAGGAGCCCATAATTTAAGTAGGACTTTTGGTATTTTCTTTTAAATGCAGCTTTCTTTTTCCTGGCAGTCTTAGAGTCTCCTGTCTCATCATTGGGTCTTTCCCACTTTTCAAAGAAGCTCTCCAACAACATACGTTTTTTATTCATTTTGGCTAGGGTTACCATGTGGGCTTACCAAAACTGTGACTGAAACAAGTGCACAGTGTGAGAAAGAGGTGCAGATGGAAATGGTAAATAAAATAATGAGTGGGCCATGTGCGGACTAAAATAAGTTTCAGATTCTGACTTAAAGCCTGCCACCAGATACAGCTGTGCAATTGAAGTACATCAACTCACTTGCCACTATAAAGCCTGCCACCAGATGCAGTTTAATTGTCACTTATCACTCACAGATAGGGTTTTGATATGAGTCTGCAAGTGATTGATTTATTATCGTCTCTGTGCAGTCAAACCTCTCTGCTAATGACAATCTGTTTTTGCAGCCGCTCCCCAGGGCTGGCGTCACAGCCTGAGCTTCACCTAAGATCAGGCATTAGAGTCTCATAAGGAGCATGAAACCTAGATCCCTTGCATGTGCAGTTCACAGTGGGGTTAGCACTGCCATGAGAATCTAATGTTGCTCTTGATCTGACATCGGGCGAGGCTCTGGTGATAAGATAATGCAAGCAATGGGGAGCAGCTGTAAATACAGATGAAGCTTAGATCTCTCCTCCTCCGCTCACTTCCTGCTGTGCTGCCTGGTTCCTAACAGGCCACAGATCCGTACAGGTCTAACTGAGCTAGAGAAGGAACAGGCCTTCACTTTCTGCTCATTTAGGTCCAGCGGTCTCTCCAAACCAGCCTCCCAGGGATGTCCTTCTCCATCTCCGTGAAGGGAGCCAGGGAGAGAGCCTCACACCTCTCCTGAAGCTCCTCCCCAGGGCCAGGGAGCAGAGTTCACTTCGCCCACCTGGACCTGCTGGGCACAGTGGCGCTTGCCTCTCAGCCGCCATCCTGTGTGCTTCCACAGTGGTCCAACCAGAGGAAAATGGAAATCTGCAATTGTTGTAAACACATCAAAATCTGCATAGAATCAGCCATATGGATTAAAACACATGCATTTGGCTCATGGTGTTCGTTATTTTGTGATGGTCACAGCAAATCTTGCAAACCTTCCTTTAAAGTAGAAAGAAAGAACCTAGCACCCTTTGGCTAAGTAATTTATGCCTCTCCAATATTCCTTCCCAGGTACCATATAACTGCCTGTAAGTCCTGTACTAGCATGGTCTGAGTCCTGTAACCTCATGCCCACCCTTTCTCTTCCCAGGGTGAAAAGAGAGTCAGGGGTCCATCTTCTGGTGGGCTTGGACTGACTTCTGGGGGAGAGACTCCTCATGTGAGGATTTCAGAGAGGTAGGAAGGTGATGCCAGGAGTTTTGGCGGTCTGCTGAGCCCTTCGCCTGCCCTCACAGACCTCCTCCTCCTCCTATTCTATGAATAGATCCCTGCCCTCCAGCCTTCTGGACTCTAGACCTCCGGGCCATCTTCTGCTTCTCTCTGCCCCTAGCCGTCCTCTGCAAGGTGCCAAATCTTTCTACTTCTACTTCACAATGTGGTAGATATATGCTCCCCTTATAGTCACACTGCCCAAGTCCCAGGTCACAGCCTCCTAACCGGTCCTCTTGTCCTGGACTGTCCCCTAACTGATCTCTGCCCATGTTGCACTGCCCAAGGCAGAGCTCTCGTGTTGCCAGCTCCCTACTCAAAAACCGTCACTGGCTTCATGGCCCCAAGGCACATTTTTGCCTTATTACCAACTAGCTGTTCTTCTTCCCGCCCCTGTGTTCCAAATGAATAGAACAACCCATTACCCCCATCCAAGACGCGCCCTACACTTTTGCTAATCTTAATTTCTCTGAAAGCAGAACATGAATAATTTATTTAGAAACACAATCCCAGTGAGTAGGGGTGAGAGAAAGGGATAGTAGAACAAGGAACAAGCGAGACCCAGTACAAAGATGCTTACCCGGTTAGCATCTGCTATGGCTAACTGGTGGCTTCATCCTGTGGGATCTTCTAAGAAGTCTTATAAAGTGTGTCTGAGAAGCATCAGTCCCAGGAATGAAATGGGAAGCATCTACCCATTGGCTCCCATTCCCATCATCTATGGATTGCCCTATAGGTGGTTGACTCTCCCAGTCCTTTTGTTGCTGGTATGTGAGAGCTGAGCAGCTCCCAGAAGCACCCCAAGCCTTGGTGTCAGGGAAACCCTGAGGCAGAGATCAAATGGCACATGGCAAGACACTGCCTGGTTGCTCCTGGGAAAATGGTCTCTGCAGTAGTGGCTGGAGTAGGGCATGAGGCCAAGAGGACTTGAAATGGTATATGTAAGGTATCCCACCCATGGGCTTTCAGAAACATATGTTTGTTCCCTCCAGCTCTTCCAGCTACATGTTTCTCCTCCTGCCAGGGACAGAGGAGCCTAGGATAGAGACAGCAGCGGGCCCTCTTTGAGTGCACCCACTCGTACCTCCAGAGCCTGAGCTCTCCTTTCCTTTCTAGGAAGAGTTTTGCAGGTGAGACTGTGATATGTGGCCTCTCTGGTTGGGGTGGATCATCCTGTTGGCATCCTCATAGCTAAGTTTATTCAAACTAAAGAGACAGTTTCTGAGATGTTCCAGTACTGTCACAGGTTCCTCTCTAGTTGAGTATGTGTGTGTGTGCACATGTGCATGCACTATTTTAATCCTCACCCAAGGATATGTTTATTAATTTTAAAGAGAAAGGAAGGGGGAGGGAGAGAGAGACAGAGACAGTGAGAGAAACATTGATTGGTTGCTTCCTGACATGGGGTAGAACCCTCAACCTAGGTTATGTGCCCTGAACAGGGATTGAACCTGCAACCTTCTGGTGCACGGGATAACACTCCAACTAACTGAGCCACCTGGCCTGGGCATGCATGCATATTTTATTTCTACTTGACCCTTCATTCTCCCATCCTGTGTCTTCCAAATAACCTTCCCTGTGAAAGTCATTTCCCTGGCAGCATCATACCACCTGGGACAACGGAGGGCTGCAAGTTAAACTACAATGAGAAATCCACATCCACAAGAACATCTAAAGTTAAAAGGACCAATGATACCAATTATTGATGAGACTGTGAAGCATCTGGAACTATCATAATTTGCTGGCGTGGAATGAGCTGGCACAATCAATTTGGAAAATTGTTTTATTCTATATACTAAAGTAAACACATGTATACCCACAGACCCAGCAATTCCACTCCTGTGTGTATACCCAAGACATATACAAGAATGTTCATAGCAGCTTTATTCAGAATAGTGAAAAACTGAAACAATACAAATGTTCATCCATAGGAAAATACATCAATAAATTGTGGCATATTTATACAATAGAATACTACCCAACAACACAAAAGAATGAAGTACTGTTGTATACAACAATATGAGTGAGTCTTGCAGGCATAATGTTAAGAGAAATAAGCCAGACACCATATAATTATGCATTATAATTGTCCATTATATGAAGCTCAAAAATAGGTAGAACTAATCTATGGTAATGCAAGTAACTATAGTGGTTTTGGGGGGATATTGACTGGAAGGAAACACAAGGGAGTCTGTTGAGGTGGTGAAAATGCCCTATTATTGTGATTTGAGTGGCAGATACATCCTGGGAGTATACATATGTAAAAATTCATCAAGCAATATACCACTTAAGGTTGATATAGTTTACTGTGTATAAGTTACATTTGAACAAAAGAAATGAATGGACAAATGAACAGAGGGCTCCCTGGAGTTTCCTATGCTACCACCCAAGGAAGCAGGGCTTGGAAGGGGGCCCACTCTCAGGGCCTGGCATACTTAGATGATTCTCAGTGCCTCTCCTGCCTGACAGGGTCCCATCTACACAGTGTGTGCACACTCAATGTTTTGAGCCTGTGAGGATCTACTTGGAACCCCAGACTTGGTATAAAGATTAAAAGTGGAAGCATTTGAGCTACTGAAGATACAGAAAGAAATCTTATCTGAACTTTCTTTATCTGACTAAAGCAGTGCCTTCCAAAAGTGCAGCTGCCATTATTCCCCCTCAGAGGGATTTTCCAGCCAATTTACCTCCAATAGAACTTTCCAAATTTTTCCTTCCCTCACTCCATCCTTTTGTTGAGTTTGGTAAATACACCTTTATTTCTGGTTATTCAGTGAGTTGCCATTACTGAGCAACTTCCTGGTGTACCTGTAAATAAACTTTGTCTTTTCTCTTGTTAAATATTTGCAGGTCTCCAACCACTGTACCCAAGTTATTTTCTTCTTTCCATAGTATTCATCCCTATGTAATTCACTTATTTATATGTCTACTGTTTGCCATTTCTCCTCACTGGGAAGTTAGTTCCATATGGCAGGAATCTGTTTTACTAAGTGAGGCATTCCAGGTACCTAGAAAAGTGTCTGGCTTACAGCAGGTGCTTCAGATATGTTCATTAAGTTAATGAAACTAGCCTCCTATGATGATTCTGGGTGAGAGCTGAGTTTGGCTGAAAAAAGGGATTCAGGAACTGTCTGAATAGATTATTATGGCCCTGAAGCCAACAGTCATGTGCCCAGGCTTGGAAATTTCCCCAGAAACAGAAGAAGATAGACCAGACAAATTCAGTCAACCCAGGGAAGTATTCAGCCAGGCTTCCCTAGAGTGTTCCTCACTTCCTCACCTGCCATGTCTGGAGCTGGGCTGCGGACCATTTATGTGATGAAAATAAAAAGGAAATGGAGAGGGGGAGTCCAAGCTGAGGAGAGGGGAGGCACCCAGAACACCTCTGTTTGTAGATTAAGCCACTGACTGCTGGAATGCGGAAGTTCCTCCTCTGGCCAGGGTGGTAGCTCAGGAGGGAAGGGAGGTGGCAGAAAGGAGCTGCATTCTTGCTGCATTCTTGCTGGATTTCTCATCTTGTCTAGGAGGAAAGCTCATGCAAGATCACACACTACTGGACAGGGTTGAGCAGAATTCAAATCATTGCTGTGACCCCAGGTCCCCTCTCCCACCTGAAACCACCCTAGCGGAAATCCATCCTCCCACTTTATAAAGTGAAGGACTGAGGTTGAATAGGAGGGCTCAGCTCATTACAGAAGTACTCTACAGTTCAGTGGTGTAGTGGGGGCTGGAGCCCAAGATCCTTGACCCTGAGTGCTGGGTTGTGTCTCAGTTGGAGCCCCCTCAGTCTCTTCTCATAGCATCTCCTCTCATCACATGCCCTGGAATGAGTCTCCCTTTCCAGTAGCAGAACCCTTTATCCAACGCAGGGTTAACTTCTAGAAGATAGTCACAGACCCAATGCAGAACCTCAGACAGCATGACCAAGAGGATTTCAGAACTCTTGTTGACCAAAGCCCAGAGAGGACAAATAAGTTGCCAGATCACGTAGTCCCGGGCCACTGTTAAGGAAGAAGCAGGAAATAGAATTTCGACCTTCTGATCCCACTTTAAAGTCCCTTCAGCCCTGAGATTTTGTGATTTCTTGATGCCAATCCAGCCAGCTTTCCTCTACTCTAGAGTTGCTTTCATCATAAAACTCTTGTCCTGAAATGCCCAGGGTACCTTGTCTGACCACTGGCAGTGGCTTTAATAGCTCATTGGTTCCTCATGGGGATAAGTGTTCTCTAAGGCATTTGGATATATATTCAGCAGCTTCATTCCCTTCTTTGTGGCCAAATCCCCTAAGCTTCCCTAAGTCATCACCCTTACACTTTCCTCCTCTCTGACCCTGTGACTGAGACTAGAACACCTACCCCTTCCCTTCTCCCAGCTCGTGCCTTCCTACCCCACTCCTCCAGGCCAGTGGAGGGACATGTTCCTGTCTCTGACTGGGGTGCAGAATCACAGGATATGACACTGGAAGGATGTAAGAATCAGAGTTCTACCTGCCTTGCCCTGGCAAGCTGTCTCCTCCAGACCTCAAGGGGCCGTCCCTTCTCTACTTTGTGTGGTTTGGAGCAGACATCAGGGCCCTCACTCATTTACTGAGTGCCTAAAATGCATGTTTTTGGTGAGCACCAAGTATGTAGGAGGCACTGTGTAAGACTTCACTGTCTCATATAACCCTTACAAAACATTCCAGCAAGGTAGGAATTATGCCCATTTAACAACCAGGAAGCTGAGGTTCAGAAGGTTTCTCTAATTTGCCCTAGATTATACTAATAAAGTCTAAGATTAGGAATGAGACCCAAGTCTGTCTAACTAATAGCCCAAGCCAGAGGCATAAGAAGGTGGGGAGGGGGGGAAGGTTTGTGAAGCTACTGTAGTACCTGCGGGACTACAGGGTGAGTGTCACTGTGGAAATGATTCCCTATCTTTAAATCAAACCTAAGAGAGGAGAGGTCACTGGGCAAGGGAAAGCAGGAGGGTTATTTAACTGACAGCCCTTGACATGCACCCTGCCAGCTCTCAGCCTGTGCATCTGTGATCAGCTAGCTGGCTGCAGTCTGGGAACTGCTTGGTCACACCTAGGCGGGTGGCCGGCCCCTCCTCCTTGGATAGAGGAAGCAGGAACAGGTGGCTGTGAGAGGTGGGGAGAAGGCCTGCAGGGCAGCAGTGGCTGGAGTCCCAGCTAGGATGGGCTCTCTCTGGGGCCTGGCTCTGTCCCTTTTTTTCTGCTTCTGGGAGGCTGGAGCTGCTGGGAGCTCTGCAGGTAAGGGGACAAGAGAGTCCCATGGGCTTCTCTCCCAGCAGGGCTCTGGGTGTATGTTTCTATCCTGGCAACTCTTTGTGGATGAGGGCAGCTATCTTGAGCTACTTAATTAACCATTAAGCTATATGTGAAGTATTACTTGTGTTATCTAACAAAAAGAGTTCCTCTATCTGGCACTAGCACAGCTGGACACTAAATACTCAGACTATCAGTAGAGAAAGATTGGCTATTTTATTATGAATGGTGCTATCCAAGAGAACAGGAAGCTAATGCTCAAAAGTCTGAACTATATAATGTCATGTAGGTCACAGATTACATAGGGCAAAATCACAAGACATTGTGGGTTAGGGGCTTCGGGGTCGTGCTGGGAACTGATTGGTTGGAGGTGAGGTAAGGGTCATAAATCATTTCTCTAGATCTTGAGGACACCTCTGATATCTATTATGGGTTCATGGGAAAGTAGCCAGGGGGTCCGTCCACCTTAGGGCTCAGGAACTGAAACATAACTTAGGTCAGGATGTTATCTTTAGTCTGCCAGAGGTCTGGACCTTGTGGTCATCAGTGAGATTCAGGCTAGCGACTTCTGTTGCTGATTGTGTTGGACAGGCTAGGTCTTTGAGGGGTGTGTTGCGTGTATACACACACACACACACAGAAAGAGAGAGATGATTTCTAGTGCTAGGATTTAAAGGTAAATTAATCAAAGTCATAAGGACCTTCAGTTTCACTATTACTGATAAAGAATATACCAATGGCAGTGTGTCCCTTTAAGCATGTATGACACTTCAGTCCATACAAATGAGCGATGTCACTGTGAGGTCACTGAGGGCTTGCCTTTCTGCCTGTGGGAGTGTGAGCAAGTGGGGACAGGGAGGTGCCAGCTCATGGTAAACATGATTAAAGCTAAAAAGCATGGCTTAACAAGATTCTAACTCCTTCAAGTTTATCCTTTAAAATACAGTTTTTGTGGGAAATATCTGACTGTGACAGACTGTTAGGAGAGGGTGAATTTGAGAAGCAGGACTTTTATGAGAGAACTAATATTGATCTATAACAGGAACTGTGCCAAGCTTGTCACATGCATTATCTTTTTTTATGGACTATTTTTTAGAGTAGTTTTAGGTTCACAGCAAAATCGAGCACAAAATACAGAGATTCCCACATACCTCACACTCATCGTCCTGTGCCAGAATGGTACCTGTGTTATAATCAATAAACTTCCATTGACAAATAATTATCATGCTGTGTTACAGGTGGTCAAGGCCTGGCAGGTCCACTCTAGATTCAGGGAGATGGAAGAAAATGCATGGAGCTGTGGGGATGCTTGACATGCCTTTATTCATGGGTGGGGGAGCCACAGATGCTGCAAGCTGCATGTCTCTCTAGTGAGAAGCCTCTGCCTGCTTAAGTACTAGAGACAAAGCCAGCAAAAAGCCAAAAAGTGACATAACATAGCATGATTCTATGCAAGTGAGCCCACTTCATGTTATGGGAACCATTTATCAAACCCAGTCTCAAGGCTATGAGAACACTACTTATCTGGCCCATTCAAGGTTATGGGAAAACTGCTTCACTTAGTTACCCAGACACCTCAGTGAGGAAGCCAGACTGCCTCCATTTACCCTATACATGCCTTATCTTTTTTCCAGCTTAAGCAATAAAAATTTATTGAGGATTTCTAGGATGGTTATCACTTCCCAGCCTCGAGGGAGGAGCCAACACTGTCGGAAATCACTGAGAAATCACATAATGTCCCAACAACCCTGGTGAACACAGGGAGGAAGAAATGTGTCAGTCTCCATTCATCTGAGAAGGGTGGGAAGGACAGATGCAGAGGGGACCACACATGGTACTGGGGGAGGGGTGGGGTGTGCTGGACTCCAGGCTGGCTCCTCAAACACCAGGGAAGACACAGATCTGCCTCTTCTCTGAGGGTGGAGTTCTTGGTCATCAGGCTCATTTCTTACCTTCATGAGGCTCTCATTTCCCCAGAGGTTTTTTTTTAAATTTTATTTATCTTTAAATCTTTTATTTTATTTTATTTTATTTTACTTTATTTTGTTTTATTTAGAGAAAGGATAAGGGAGGGAGAGAAAGATGGAGAGAAATATTGATGTGAGAAACATCTATTGGTTGCCTATCGTATATGCCCTGACCAGGGACTGAACCAGGGAATCAAACTGGCAGCCTTTCACCAACAAACTGAGCCACACCAGTCAGGGCTAAGACTTTATTTTCTTAAGAGAAAATTTAGGTTAGCAAAATTGAGAAGAGGTACAAAAATATCCCATATTACTCGAGTACACTCTTTTTAATCCTCACAATAACCCAATGAGAGAGATATGATTCTTACCCTCTCCCAACCATGAAGAGTGAGGGGACTGAAGTTTACCAGGATTAAGTAATACCTGCAGAGCCAGGTTTTGATGCCACACATGCCTAACCAGTGGACACACAAACCACCTCTTGCATGCACTCTGACCTATAAGGCTTGTGCTACACATTTTACATTTAATTTAATTTAATCTCCACAATTTTATGAAAATGGAATCTTGGAGCCAGGAGACCCTGCCAGCATCATGTAGGTGGTAAGCTGCAGGGCAAGCAGCAAAGAGAGAACTCAAACTCAGGGTGCAAAGTTCACACGCTTCACTGTCCACTAGTTTGATTTAAGTTTACGAAGCAGGAAAGTTGGAACATTCTAGAGCTATAGAGGCCAGGATGGACTTTGAGAACACCCCTGTCTTGAGGTCTTCTTTTTGAGAAGACCCTTTGTGTGTAAGAGATGTGGGTAGGGGACTGTGAAAGCCCTGGAAATGAAGAGGCTATGGGTTTGGGAAGCAGGATGACACCACATGGCTCCTGGAAGAGGACAAAAGGGTGTCAGGGGAGGTCAGTGGTCAGACCTCAAGACCCAAACCACTGTTTGGGTTTCAGGCTGTGTGGGCTGACCCAGAAAGTCTCTGTTTCCTTCCATTGTGTGGGGACTGAGGAGGCTCAGAGAAATATCTTGGGCTTTGAAAGTACATTCTTGTAAAAGCATGCTCTGTGTGTGTAGTTGGACTGCACAGAACAAGGCATGAGAGCAAATGCTGTGACCTACCTAAGGCATGTGGGTACAGCCATGCTTTAACACAGTGAAATTCTCACTGTGTTAAAATAAGTTGTGTGCCCTCAAGTGACTCGTTGAGAGGACATGGTGGGAAGCAGATGCTTAATAACGCTTGGCCGGCTTTGGAATACCAGAGTTTTCCCATTTCCCTTCACCCCTTTGTCCTCATCACCACAGCAGGGCAGGGACTAGGGCTGTCTTTCACAGGCTTGGGGAGGCCTAGTGGCTGCCCTCACTAGTAGGAGGCAGAGTCAGCATTTGAATCATTAAATCATTAGACTCCAAACCTAGTAAGCAACAGACCTGGGACTAGAACCCAGCGCTCTTTCACCATTCAGTGGGAGACACAGGAGGACAAGCTGAGGACCCGGGACTCTGTCCTGACACCCTTGGTAGATGTGACCACATGGTTCTGGACCGCCTTTAGGTCCTTGGAGACTTTTGGGACAATAGATCTCATTAAAGACCATCTCAAATGATCAGAATTCTAAAAAGGAGGGCTTATATTTTGATTGTCTTCCTTCCAAGAGTAGGATTGCTAGTAAAACACAGAGTGTCCCCTTAAATTTGAATTTCAGATAATGAAGTATTTTTAGTATGTCTCAAATATTGCATGGGAAACAAATACACATACTAGAACAATTATTTGTCATTAAAATCATTCTTTGTTTATCTGAAATTTAAATTCAAATTTAACTGAACATCCTGTATTTTTATTTGCTAACTCTGGCAACTCTCCCCAAGAGGGTCCTTGGTCCATGCACAGAGTGAGTCCCTCCCCTTCAGCAGATTGGAGAGGCACCGTTGTCAACCTATGAAAGAGCTTGTTGTCACCTCTCTCAGGGCAATGAGCACCCACTGGCCCTCCACTTACACAATCTCAGAGGACTTGTCAACAGTGAACAGAGACACTGTACCCTGTGGAGAAATGCTAGGAGAATCTCTCTAAAAAGTGAACTTTTACCTCACCTAACTCCCTATTTCCTGTGAAAACTTCTGGGTACATAATTTTTGGGGTCCTGGGGTTCTGTCTCTGCCATCTCAGGCACATGTTTAGGAGAGAATTGAGCAGTAACAGGAAACTCGCCCCTCTCACTTTGCTAGAACCCCAAGGATTCTGCCTGCTCCCCTCCCCTTTGCAGCAGCCACCACCCATACCGTCTCTGGAGATTCCTCTCTCCTAATCCCCCAGTTACCTCTAAACACAAAACTACAGCTGTTTCCTGCTGTGACCTGTGTGGGGAGGAGGTCCCTGAGCGGGGGCGATGGGAGATTAAGAAAGACACAGACACGGACAGTTAAAGGAAAAGCGGGGCCAGGTCGGACATTGTCCTTTGATGGAGAGACAATGACCCTGAACACGGTCTCCGTGTTTATTTTATAAGAGTTAGTTGAATAAAGCTCAAGGACATTTCACAGGCTCAGGGAAAAACTGCAGGCATAATTGCTCCATTCCCAGGCTACCTAAATGATAAATATTTCTTCTGAAAAAGTTACAGTCACATTCAGCTGAAGCTTGTGGTTAATGATTTAACTATCTCCTTAACCCCTGTGGGTTCCAGCAATATAACGCCAGCCTTCACCGTCCTCCAATGTTTCTTATGGTTGGAGTGTTTTTATTTCCATGGGGAAACATTTACTGGATGAGAAGAATATTGATGGAAAGTGATAAACATTCTTTTAGAAAGTTCTGAGAATTGAGGTCCCTGTTCTGTAGTTCTTGGCTCATGTGGATTTCTGCCTTCTTTGCTCTCTCTCCTTTGAGGCTGGGTCCTGGCCCCACATAGTCCCTCTGAAGCCTTCAGCCCAATAAACAACTAGATTCTGGGGTTTGCTTGCCTCAAGTGGGCCATCAGAGGATGTCAGTTAGAGCTACCCCAGTTCTGTGGCTGTCACATGGAGCTGGTCTTCCCAATACTACCTCCTTCTTCCTTGTAAATATAGATGGCCCATGGAGTGAAGGCAACTCTCCTTCCCACCCTCTTCCCAGAAGTGCCCAGGGCATAAACATAAGAACTTCTGTGAGGTCAGTCCACTGAAACTCATGGCTCACAAAGTTATCTTACCCAACACAGGCCCCAGCACCCGCAAACCAGGGCTTCTAGTGACAATGAACCACACAGAACTGCCTGCTGTGACTCTGGGGGTCAACACAAGCTCAGAGGGAGCTTCCCATTCTATCGGCCTTGCTGAGCCCTCTGTGCAGAGCCACATCCCTTTAGAAACTCAAACCCTGGACACCCAGACCTTTGACAGGATCTTAATACCAGCCAGCACCATCTCAGAATCAGAGACCAGGGAAACCAAAACCATATTTTCTGCAACAGAGACCAGGGCCCTCACAAAAATAACACCTTCCAAGTTCATGGTTGTGATGACTGTTCCCGTGGAGACATCAGCCACAAGTGGCAGTTCCTCAGAAGCTGGAGCAACCACAATGGAGACTGTTACAGGTAGTGATCTCTTGGTCTTTGGTATCCTCTGCACTGATGACAGCTCTGAAGAGACAAAGAGGATCACAACTGATGCCTTGCCATTGGCTCACATGTCTGCAGAAGCCAGGGCTCTGGCCTTGGAGAACAGCTCAGTTCCAGCCATCACTAGCTCACAAACCCTGGCACCTGACATCACAGTTCCATCTAAAGCCTTGGTTGCCTACACCATCGCTGACATTGCGGTTACCAATTGCAGCACTGTAGAACTAGAAACAACTGCCATCATTGCTGGGACCTCAGACATAGATCATAGCCCGACAGGAGAAAGGGGGACCCTGTCCACTCCTGAGACGTCAGCTTTGCCTGACTTTACTGAAGCAAAATCATACCTCACTAAGATCATGACCTCTTCTGAGACCTTGTCAACAGCCAGCACTCCTGATACCACAGTTGAGACCCCACACACCGCCAATAGCACCACAGAAGGAGAATCAACAGCAGCCCAGGCCGCCACCTCCAGTGGAACTTTAATGACAATAACCATAAACCCCTTGGAACAAACCTTACCCCTCTCTGTTGAGACAGCAAGCCATACTAAGGTCTCAGGAGCAGTTACAATCTCCACGGAGGCTGGATCAACAGTGGGCAAAGTGACTTCCTCTGCTGGGTCCTCAGGTATGATCTACAGTCTTTCAGAAATAGCCCCCATCCAGAAATACACCCACTCAGAGACGTCTACCACACACAGCACAACCAGTGGGCCTGTTCCCATCAGCAGGAGCTCTATTCCTTCTGTCCTTCTGACTACAACCAACAGCAGCCAAGAAACTGGTATCACCTCAGCCAAGACTACAGCTTCAGCAAAGACTTCAAAGACAGCCAGCACAGCTGGAGGGAAGCCAGCAGCCACACCTACCACTTCTCAGACAAGGTGGACCACAGAAGATACTACAGGTAACAGGCTATTCAGGTGTGGTCTTGGGGACTTGGGGTTTAGAGGCTCTAGGATGTCTACATGCTTAAGGTGTAGGGAGGAAGGATCTGGAGGGCCAATTCTGAGCCCTGTCTCTGATGTCTCTCCTCTTCATGATCTTCTAGTGGTTCTTGCTAAAATCAGTAACAAGCAGAGTTAGGGTGGTGTATGGAAAGAGCATGAGGACGAATGTCTGAAGAAATTTTTTGAGATCTTGGCTCTGCCCTTGACCTGAGTGACCTAGGAAAGATTCTTCTCCCTCTCTGAGCCTGAGTTTCTCCACCAGTAGCTGGAGGGGGTTGCAAATGGATGAACAATGAGGTCCTCTAGCTCTGCCCTTCTATGAAGTTAACGGTTGAGTAACTGCTGTGCACCAGGTGAAGCCCCAAAGTTTGTCTAGAAGGCACAGCCTTCATGCTCTAGAAGCCTCTGGTTCGGCCAGAGCCACACAGAGGAGCACCATGTGGGCATCTGGCCCAAGCTGCTGCCCTCCGAGCAGCTTGGACCCCATGAAATGGGGCTCACTGGATGCAGTCGCTGGAGGTGGCTCCACAAATCGTGACAAAATAAATAAAGGAGGTGAAGGTTTGGGCGCTCAAAGCTAAGACAACATCTCTAAGACAACATAATTCTCAGAGAAGAAGTCCTGTATCCAAGGCTGCTTGGTTAACTCAGCTCCTGGTCAGCCTGTGGCCTCCATCTCCACTTGCCATCACTCTGTCCTCATGCTTCGTCCCTGCAATATCCTCCAATTGCCCTGCCTTTCTGGGAAGGTAAAATAAAAATATTAATTACAATCACCTTGCTGAATTTCTTTTTATTCCAGGCAGAGGTGATATAAAAATACTTCACAACCAAAGAAAGTTTTCTCTCATGCCAGGCGTGTACTATGATCTTTGCATGCTCTCTCCTCTAATTAAATACTCAAATCCACCACATGATGAGGAGCTAGGAGAAGGGGAAAGGATTAAGAAGTACACATTGATAGTTACAAAATAATTGCAGAGATGTAAAGTTCAGCATAGGGAATATAGTAAATAATGTACTGTGTGTGGTGCCAGGTGGGTGCTTGAAATACTGGAGAATCACTTTATAAATTATAAGACCATCTAACTACTACACTGTACACCTGAAACTAATGTAAAATTATATTAAATGTCAAATGAAATTTAAAAATAAAATTTAAAATGATAATTAACAAACCCATCACTTGAAGTGGGTATGATTATCCCATATGACAGGTGATGGAAACAGATTTAAAGAAAAAAGAGAGCAGTAGGGTTCCAAATGAAAGTCTCTTTGATGCCCAAACTCATAGTCTCCTATTGTATTTTTATTTTTAAAAATTCAATTTATCAATATATTTTTATTTTAAAATGCTTTTAAAAATTTTTTCTTTTTCTTTTTCTTTTTTCTTTTTAAATTTAATCTTTATTATATTTTTCCATTACTATTTAGTCCTCTTATAGTCCCCTCCCCCAAGCAATTACCACACTGTTGTCCATGTCCATGAGTCCTTTTTCCTTTTTGTTCAGTCCTTCCAACACTTAACCTCCCTTCCACCTTATCATCCTGTTCTCTATGAATCTGTCTCTATTTTGCTTGTTAGTTCAGTTTGTTCATTAGATACCACATATGAGTGAAATCATACGGTATTTGTCTTTCTCTGACTGGCTTATTTCCCTTAACATAATGTTTTCCAGGTCCATCCTTATCATTGCAAAGGATAAAATTTTCTTCCTTTTTACAGCCAGGTAGAATTCTGTTTGTAAATGTCCCGTAGTGGTTTTATCCATTCATCTACCAATGGACACTTGGGCGGCTTCCAGATCTTGGCACTGTAAATAATGCTGCAATAAACATACAGGTGCTTATGTTCTTTTGAATTAGTGTTTTGGGCTCCTTCGAGTATATTCCCACAAGTGGGATCTCTGGGTCAAAAGGCAGATCCATTTTTAATTTTTTGAGGTATCTGCGTACTGCTCTCCACAGTGGCTGCACCAATCTGCATTCCCACCAGCGGTGCAAAAGCATTCCCCTTTCTCTGCATCCTCATCAGCACTTGTTGTTTGTTGATTTATTGATGACAGCCATTCTGACAGGTGTGAGATAGTATCTCACTGTGATTTCACTTTGTATTTCTCTGATGATTAGTGACATTGAGAATCTTTTCATATGTCTATTGGCCATCTATTTATATGTCCTCTTTGGGGAAGTGTCTATTTAGGTCCTTTGCCCATTTTTTAATTGGGTTGTTTGTTTTTTTTGGTGTTGAGTTTTGTAAGTACTTTATATATTTTGGATATTAACCCCTTATCAGATGTATCAACGAATATGTTCTCCATTCTGTGAGTTGTTTTTTATTTTGTTGATGTTTTCATTTGTTGTGCAAAATCTTTTTAGTTTGATATAGCCCCATTTGTTTAGTTTTCTTTTGTTTCCCTTGCCTAGGGAGCTATACCTGATAGAAAATTTCTATGAGCAATATCCAAACTTTTGCTGCCTATGCTTTCTTCTAGGGTTTCTATGGTTTCAGGTCTATCATTTGGTCTTTGGTCTATTTTTTAATTTATTCTTCTGTGTGGTATAAAAAGGTGGTTGAATTTCATTTTTCTGTACCTATCTGTCTAATTTTTCCAACACCATTTATTGCATAAACTATCTTTAGCCCATTGTATGTGCTTGTTTGCTCTGTTGAATATTAGTTAACTACAAAGTTGTGGGTTTATTTCTGGGCTATTCTGTTCCATTGAGCTATGTGTCTGTTTTTATGCCAGTACCAGGTTGTTTTGATTACTATGGCCTTGTAGTATAGTTTGATGTTTGGTAGTGTGATTCCTCCAACTGTGTTCTCTTTCTTAGGATCACTGTTGCTATGCCTTTTGTGGTTCCATATACATTTTTTAAAGACTTTATTTATTTAGATTTAGAAGGGAAGGGAGGAAAAAATAGAGGGAGAGAAACATCAATATGCGGTTGCCTCTTGGAACCCAAGCATGTGTCCTGACTGGGAATTGAATCAGTGATCCGTTGCTTTGCAGGCCCATACTCAATCCACTAAGCCACACCAGCCAGGGCTAAATTTTTAAATATTTGTTCTAGTTTTGTTAAATATGTCATTGGAATCTTGATAGGACTTGTGTTGAATCTATAGATTGTTTTGGGTAATATGGGCATCTTAATGATATTAATTCTTCCTATCTATGAACATGGTGTATGCTTCTATTTATTTGTATCTTCAATTTCTTTCTTCAGTGTCTTATAATTTTCCATGTACAGGTCTTTTACCTCCTTGGTTAGGTTATTCCTAGGTATTTTATTCATTTTGAAGCAATTACAAATGGGATTGTTTTCTAAATTTCCCTTTCTGTTAATTCATTATTGGCATATAAAAATACAACTGATTTCTGGATATCAATTTTGTATCCTGCTACTTTGCTGAATTCATTTATTTGTTCTAGTAATTTCCTGATAGCATCTTTGGGCTTCTCTATGCATAGTATCATGTCATCTGCAAATAAAGACAGTTTTACTTCTTCCTTTACAATTTGGATGCCTTTTTTTTTCTTCTTGTCTTATTGCTGTGTCTAGGACTTCTAGTATTATGTTGAATAAGAGAGGTGAAAGCAAACATCCCTTTCTTGTTCCCAATCTTAAGGTAAACACTTGTAGTTTTTGCCCATTGAGTATGATGCTGGCAGTGGTTTTGTCATATATGGCCTTTATTATATTAAGTATGTTCCCTCTATTCCCACTTTGCTGAGAGTTTTTATCATAAATGGGTGCTGGATTTTGTCAAATATTTTTCTGCATCTATTGATATGAGCATGTGAGTTTTATCCTTCATTTTGTTTGTGTGGTGAATCACATTTATTGATTTGTGAATGTTGTACCACCTTTGCCATATTTTTATCTTCCTACTGTTCTCAACTTGCAGATGGAGATGAAGGCTTCCTCCTCCTGCGACTGAGTGTGGCCTCCCCAGAAGACCTCACTGACCCCAGAGTGGCAAAAAGACTGATGTACCAGGTAAGTAGACACTTACTGAGACAGTAGGAGAGTCAGGAGAGTAGAGGAGTCAGGAGAGTAGAGGAGAGTGAGAGATTCTTGGGAACTCCTGCGGGACACAGAAGAGCAACTGTTACACTTGGGAGGAGCCTAGTTTCTTATGAAGTATTAAAAGCTAAATCTAACAGTCTCTGCCTATTTTTCCTGAGTTCTGAATTCCCCTTCTTTGCTATGTAAAAAAAAATTTTTTTCCTCACCCCCAATTTACCCAGGCTTTTAGAAAGTCAGGCCTTCTGGGAGAAGGTCAATCATATTAATGGGCAGATAGGCAGAACTTTTGGTTGCAAGAGACAGAAAACCAACCCATCATAGTTTTTACAGAAAAGGCAAGGTATTGGCTAAGATAGTTAGAAGTGGCAGTTTCAGCTTCTGTTATGCTAGATCTGGCAGCTCAAACATGATCATCAGGGTTTTCTCTTTCTCTCTCTCTCTTAGCTCTGTTCTCTTCATTGTTCAGAGCCTCTCTCCATATGTAAGAAAAGGTGGCTGTGACAACCCTAGATTCACAAGGCACTTACTCTCCCAAGATCTGCATATCATACTCAGGAAGGACTGACCTCATTGATCTACAAGGGCCACCATGACTGACAGCTCCATGACTTGAACCACATGGAATGATCAGGACAGGCCCCAAAGGAAATAGGGATGCTAAGCAGAAAAAAAAAAACCCATTGATGTATGCTGTAGATTGGGACTAACATTGGCATATATTTGTAGAGAAAATTGGGAAAATTTTCCTAAAACCAGATCACTGAGTAAAACTTCTAGTGGTGAAATTCTGGGGTTAAGTTTTTGGGGAATGGTTGAATTTTTGAAGGTTAAAATGGGTCAGCTCAGCCTAGCTCTTGTGCCCACATCTTGCTACCAGGGGATGGGAATATTTGGACCCTTGAAGTTCTGCTAGGGAGAAGGAGACCCATCAGACTCCCATAATAAGTAGTTCCCTGAACATGGCATGGAGAGTTTGAAGCAAGGCAGCCAAATAAATGACAAATGCCCACTGCACATGATAATCAAAGTAGCAAGTGTGAATCCCAGTTGGAGGGAAAAGCCAGGGTTGTGTCATATCTGAGCCCCTCCCCCCAAACTGGAAACTATTTCAGGGGTCAGAAAGAAAGTAGGGGGATAGGAGCAGGCAGGAGTGGAGGTGCAGGAACCAGGCCATTGTGGCGTTAGCCATCAGTTCTTGGGAGCTGGCCATTTCTTTGTGTAGGGCCCAGGGGTCAGACAAACAAGAAACTTTTGAGCCACATAGATCTGGGTGTAAATCCTAACTGAGTGATATCGGGTAAGTTACTTCACATTACTCTCCTATCTTATAAAATAAGGCTAATAGTACCTGCTTTAAAAGTTCACTGGGATGTTTAAATGACATTATGTGCACAAAGCCCCTAGCCCATGCCCAGCCTGTGGGAGGCTTAAGAAATGTTGCTGGCCTCCTCATTTGTTCTCTCCCACTGTCCCTTCCTGTACTAGGTCTGTGGGGAGCTCATAGGCCAGATGGGCTGGAATTACTCACCTGCTCTTTTTGCCCTCCAGCTCCACCATGAACTGCACACCCACATGCCTCCCACCCAAGTCTCCCTGCTGCATGTCAGGAGGGACTAAAGAACATCAGCTGCAGCCAGGCATGACTGTGTGCCAAGAGTGGGGCTGTACTGCTTATGGCCTGAGACCCACAGCAGAATGAAGTCCGTTACTACACCAAGATGTACCTGGAAGGTTCCCATGAAGGTCAGCTGGCCTAACCCTTAATCCCAGACATGGCAGTGGGACCCTGGCTCACAGATGCCTGAGTTGTGTGGGGATTGGGGCTTCCTCTGTTCTATATATCCTTGGACTTACCTTGCATATAGACTGTCTTTCTGTAAAGAGTAACCTTAGATCACCCATCTGTTATTGACTATGTGCTTCCATCTCACAATAAAATTATACTCAGTGTGACCCAAATGTTATATATTTGACCTGTGTGTTTTTGACATTTTTATGATATATCCTCACTGCCACCTTCCTTCTTCATGTCCTCTGGTTCTTGGTTTGGATCTGGACCACAGCACTTACTGAGGCTGTTAAACTGTGAGCTCCTTCAAAGCAGGGACCATATTTGTTTATCTCAGCATCCCCTGAACCTAGCAGAGTGCCTGGCCTGTAGTAAGATCACAGAGAATGTTTGTTGAATTGACTTGAATTGCAAGTTCTAGACTCAGGCAGATTTAAAAAGAAGTCTGTAATACTCATTTATTCCTCTGCCTATATCTCATAAATCACATTATTACTATTTTTAAAATTAAATGTTCCTTTTTTCTATTATAAAAGTAGAACTTGCTTATGATATAAAATTTTAAAAAAATTCAAAAGAACCAGAGGAAAAAAAGAAAAAGAAATGAAAAGGGGAGGGGAAAAGAACAAAAAAAGTTCCTAAAACCTCACCTCTTACATATAACTATTGTTAACATATATACTCAACATCTCCACTTGGTCTAATACCTCACATTCAACATTTCCAAAATCACATCCTCATGTTTTTCCCTAAACCTGCAGTGCCTGCATCTTCTTTATCTCAGTTAATGTCAATTGCACATTTTACATCCAATTCATCAGGAAATTTTGTTGACTTTACTGTTGTAAAAATATACCCAGACTCTGACCACTCCTTACATCTCCACTGCCCTCACCCTGGTCCAAGCTACCATCATCTCTTAACTAGATTACTAATATCCTCCTAACAGACCCCCCCTAATTCTACCTTTGCCTCCCACCCCCAGTCTAGTTCTACTGCATTGGTCAGGTCTCTTTTTATAATGTAAGGCAGACCATGCCATGCTTTTGTTCCAAACCCTTCCATTTCATTTAGAGAAAAAGCTAAGTTCTTCAAAGGCCTGCAAAGCTGTGCCGGGGTCCAGCCTCGGCAGGATCCCGAAGGATGCATGGCTAAGGTGAAGTGAATGAAGGGAGACACCCGATGGGGTGCCGGAGGACAGTCAGGCTTTTTGGGCCTGGCTGACTCACCGAGAAAAATCAATCTTTATTTTTATAGGGGAGGCTATACAACATTCAATGCATAGTGTGATTATCAAAACAGAAATGGTTACCATAGAAATAATTTCGAAAAACCCAGAAGGTTTTACAGATCCATCATGTTAAACAAAGAAATAACTGAAAAGTACAGGAGGTCCCACAGATCAACCATATCAAACAAAGGTTATTTTGACCAAGAGGGTCATCAATCAGATAGCCAACGAAGCTATACGGGCACAAACTTTCAGGTGCCAATTAGTAACTAGGTATCTATTAAGATTCTAGGGATTGGTCTAAATTAAAAGGGTACAAGGGGTGATTTATAGGTATATAGAAATCAACTATTGTCCGTTGAGATTAAATTTGTCTCAGTTAGGTTACTGGTTTTTTGCCTAGGTTTTTTGATTTATACATCTTGGGGCGGGGCGTGTTTTGTGTTCATTTCCATGTATTGAGATTATTATTTTCAACTAGAACTCCTTGCTCTTTACTCTCCTGTCCAGAGTATGGGAGGGGTAGTGGCTCTAATAAATCTTAAGCTTTTGAGTGGTGACTCCTTAAGAAACATTCCTAGCAACAGTTTCCTTCAGTGTTCCGGCAGTTGGTCTGCCCATAGTTTAATTTTGTCCTTAACTTCCCAGGTGGGGGAAGCAGGCAGCATTAGGGTTGCTAGGGATCTCTATTCTGTGGTCAGCAAATCATTTAGCGCAGAATCAGAGGCATCGTGCAGATTTTTTGTTATAACACACAGGTATCTAGAATTCTCACTACCTATTGCTAGCAGGGACAGGCACATAGGAGGAGATAGATAGGAGATCCAGCCATAGTCACCTCTGCTGTGCACATGAGTCTCATCCAACCTGACTGTGTCAAAGGTCAGCTGTTGGTTGGCTCCTGAAGCTATACACAATATGCACGCCCTTGCCAGCCTCCTTAACCTGCAGACTGCACTCCAGTCACACTGACTTCCTTGCTGTTCCTTGAATGCATGAGACCTTGGGAGCATGGTCCTGCCTTGGGACCTTTGCATGCATTGCTCAGTCTGCTTAGAATGCTTTACCTTCTGATACCCACTCAGCTAACTGCTCCACCTCCTTGATCTCCTTGGCGAGTCTACCTGGTCACCCTCTTCTGCTTCAATTTTCTTTGTAACACTGGTCACAACATGACATAATGCATATTTTATTTATTTGCCTTATTATTATCTGTCTCCCTCAACTAGAATGAAAGAGTTTGCTCACTGCTGTATCTCTAGTGTCTAGGACAGTGCCTGACACATAAAAAGTGCTCAGTAAATATTTGTTAAATGAATGAAGGAAAAAAGGCAACTTGAATATTGCTCTGAATAAGGGGAGTATACATATTTGATTGACTCTCTTCCTCTTGCAGAATGGGGGAATAATGAGTTTTATAAAGTAGGTTGGACAAAATTAATTAAAACATTCATCCCAGCATACTTGTTGAGCACCATCAATAGAAGAAACATTATGTTATGTGCCATGGAGGACTCAAAGGTGTCTTAAGCCACAGGAATTAAAGTTAGTAGAGGAGGTTAGAGATGTATAGAAATAACAATCTGAAAGAACTTATTTATATCATACATGGCAAAACCAAAATACCCTTAATATACAAAGAGTTCTTACAAAGCAATAAAAGGCAAACATACCATAGAAAAGTGAACAAATGGCAAAGACAGACAATTCAAAAAGAAGAACTATAAGTGCCTTTTTTCCACAAAAAAGAAACTTTGACTTCATCAGGAAAAAGGTAAATTAATACAATAAGATATTCTTGTTGTTTGTCAATAAGTAAAAATTTATAAAAATTACAACATTTCTACTAATGAAGGTATGAGAAAAAGGGCACTCTTAAACCTTTGTTTAAATAAAACAACCTTTTATTTAATAGGTTTGAATAAAATTGGTACAACCTTTATAGAGAACAATTTGACTACCCAAAGTCTTAAAAATGTGCAACCCTTTAACTCAGATTTTATTCCTAGGAGTTCATCTTAAGGGAATAATTAGGAATTTGTGCAAAGACTGATAAATAAATATGTTCATTAAATATGTATGGTTTCAGATTGGTACTACACTTATTGGGGTGGTCACTTCATAAGGTATATAAATGTCTAGTCACTATGTTGTACACCTGAAACTAATGTATGACAATTGGAATTGGAAAATAAATTAATTTTTTAATGTTCAATTACAGAACTATTTATAACAGCCAATAAAAGAAAAACAAAACAAAACAAAACAAAAGTAAGATATCCCAGTGTAGCCATTCGGTTAATGATAGAGTTATTTTACACAATCTATAGAAGTGTTGTTGAGATGTATATTTATTTACATGGAAAGAAATTCATGACATATTCTGTTCTCTTTTATTTTCTTAAGATGAAACCACTTGTTTTAAATTTCAAGATACTCTTCACACTGCATCCAGAGCTTTCCTTTCTAAAATCAAAGCTAGTCCTATTCTTACCTTCAGGGTTAACTGCACGCCCGCGCCCCCCACCCCGCCCTGCCAACTTTAAATAAAAGGGTCTATGTAATACAGCCTTAGCCAACTTTCTCAGCTCTGTGTCCTATGGCTTCATCTCCATCTCCTGCATCCTATGTTCCTCCTACAGGGAACTTTTCACTACTTCCTAGTCATACTTTCTTTGGTCAAACGTGTTTTCACATCATGATTCCTATCCTTGGAATGTTTTCCCTCCCTCTGGTCCCTTCATCTAGAAAACTCCTGGTCATGCTTTTAAGCTCAGTTCATTTAACGTTTCCTTGTGTAGGCTTTCCCCAAATTCCCTAAAGTCTATTTAGGTTTCTGTTATAACACTTAACATGCTATGCCATGATTTATTTATTTACAAGTTTGTTCAGTCATATGCACTTCAGGACCAGAGCTACCTAGTATTCATCTCTGTAGCCACAGAGCCCTGTTCATGGAGGTCACTCAAATGTTTGCTGAATGACTGAGATGATGGGCCAGTGAGCAGACAGCCATGAAATATGGGCCCTGGATTCTGAAAGTTAAGGAAATGACATTCAGCGCTGGCTGATGTGGCTCAGTTGGTTGGAGCATTGCCGCATAAACCAAAACATCATGGGTTTGATTCCCTGTCAGGTTATGTGCCTGGTTATGGGCTCGGTCCCTGGTCAGGGTGCATGCAAGAAGCAACCTATCAATGTCTCTCTCTCATATCAATGTTTTTCTCCGTCTCTTCCTCTCTCTCTAAAATCAATAGTCATGTCCTTGGGTGAGATTTTTTTAAAGTCTTAAAAAAAAAGAAAAAGAAGAAAATGGCATTCAATGTTGAAGTCAAACAAAATATAAATTTTATGATGTAATTATTATTAAGCTGCACTATAGGCATAAATAGAGAGCAGTTTGCATAAATGACTATAATGCTGCTGTTATGTAAATCTAATTCTTAAAATTTTTTTCTTTTCTTGCTTTGCACTGATTCAATTCAGTGATACCTAATAAAGTGGATAATTTAATCTTAATTACATACATTTAAGGACATACAGGTACATACAATGCTGATTACTATTGTTGAAAGCCAAAAAGTTTGTAAAATATGGGATACACTAATTAGAAGCATTTGGGAATCAAAAAGTATAAATGTGTGTGTGTGTGAGAGAGAGAGAGAGAGAGAGAATGAATTACTGGAGATGACTAAAATTAGAGGAAGTAATGTTATAAACCAACAAGAACCAAAAGTGCCTGGAGAAAATTCTCGTTATTTAAGATTCAAAGGTGTATGTATATGAGGTGAAAATGCCACATATTTTATAAGGACAAAGGTGGATGTGGACCTAAACAAGATAGCCTGCCTAAGGTCACCTGTGACTCAGCACAATCTCAGAGGGAAAAACACAAGGCCATGAGGACAATGAGAGGTGGAACTTTTCTGACAAGAGACT